GTTCCCAGTGTGGAACAGCAGGAGGTCTTAGAACATCAGAAGGAAAATTTTTCATTTGTGAGTGTATAAAAAGTAGTTTTTCTGGGAGTGGTACCATATTAATAATATGGCATTATTAAGACCATGCAGCATTCCATAAAATGTCGTTTATATAATCATATTTTTAAAATGTTAGACCTCTTAAAGTATCTTTCTCTTGTTTAAAAGGAAGGGGTATTTGCTTTAACAACTTTAAGTTATGCTCGTCTGTTGGGAGTTGTGCAGAATTTTTCTTTAAATAGTAATTTGACAGTATTTTAAGCTAATTTCTACTCTCTTTTTTTTTCCAGTATAATTATATTGGGTTTCTAGATTACAAAAAGGAAACCATCCGAAAGCTTGCCATGAAAGCCAACACCTGCTCTTTCAATCCAGGAGTTTTTGTTGCCAATTTGACAGAATGGAAATTACAGAACATCACTAAGCAATTGGAGAAGTGGATGGCACTTAATGTAGCGTAAGTAGCCCCAAGCTGGGGGCGGCGGCAGGTCAGGGATTGGGTTATCATGATGGCATTTAACTGTTAAGTGAAGGGCTGCATATGTATCTGTGGATTCCTGTCATGCAGCTGCAAGTGCAAACTCAACTGATTTAGGGCCACACAAGCATCCTTTCCCAACTTCTTTTCATCTTCTCTTCCAGAGAGGAACTTTACAGTAGGACTCTCGCTGGCAGCATCACGACACCTCCACTGCTAATTGTATTTTACAAGCAACATTCCACTATTGATCCCATGTGGAATGTCCGGCATCTCGGTATGTATGAAACATTTGTGACACTGCTCCCCCAGTGTGTTTTTCCAGGTCTGTAGCTGGACACCTAGTTGATGATGCAGCAAATAGATCTTTTCTTCCCCTATTTTATACCTTGTTCTTTAAGAAACACTGCTTTGCAATACCATCTTGGGTCTTGTAGGCCTGATCCTTCATGTTCTTTTTTGAACTGCTAGGGGGATAGTTCTTGAACTGACTTACTCTCAGATTACTTCTCATTTTCTTTTTCCACACCTATATTGTATCTGAAGTGATCCTAGGTGTGTCTTCCAAGACTGTTGAGAGGAACAGACATTCCTGTCTGTTCTGCTACTGGTGAGACCCCAATGCTGGGAGAGCTTTCTTAAGTTTTGTTTCCAATGAACAATACCTAGGCTGCTGAATACATCAGGGTATTAAGGGGATTTTAAAGAACTTGGAAGTTAAGGCAGTACATTAAAATAGAGACTGAGACAGATCAAAGTGGCGTTCAGTTGCACCTGATTATGTTTTTCACTTTGCCCTGATTTCTGCCTCCCATATCACCTCCTTTTTCCATAAATGACAAATTTCCTTTGTTACAATCCTTTGTTTTGAAGTTAAAATATTGCACGTTGGTGTTTCTACTGCCTTTATTTCAGGCACTAATGTTTCTTTTTCAATTAAAGGGTCTAGTGCTGGAAAAAGGTACTCTCCTCAGTTTGTGAAAGCTGCCAAGCTGCTCCATTGGAATGGACATTTCAAACCATGGGGAAGAACAGCTTCATATGCTGAAGTCTGGGAGAAGTGGTATGTCCCTGACCCTACAGGCAAGTTCAGCCTGATCCGCAGACATTCAGAAGCCTATGAAGCAAAGTAGAGTCAATTTTAATAACTGATGGCATTTTCTCAGGAAACTTCTGGAGCCAAGCAGAACTTTTTTTTAGACAACTTATATTACAGAGCAGTCCTTGCCTTCTGGAGCACAAGGTGATGTGCTTATTCAGGTGCAGTTCTGAAATGCACAGGTGCAAAGGAGATTGACTTCACTTGCGTGACAGAAGATGCTTCTCCAGCAGCACTAGAGAAAGGAAGGGAGGATCTCCACAAACTAGCACTTTTGTTAGTTCATTTCTATCTGTTGTCTGTTCTCCTGCTCTTTACTACAAGTCTTCTAGAGAAGGATCATTTTGTCAGCTACAGAAAGAAATGGTTTCTAAGAACAAGCTACAACTTCAGCTGGTGCATGCACCATGCAAATCTTGCACAGCAATGTACTGTAATTAAGAGCTGCTTGGGTTTTGTTCTGGGTTTTTTTTTTTAATTTGTTTTCTTATCCTGTGAAATAGTTTCCTCAACAACCCTTTCTTGCATGAAATCTCCTCCCAGCCATTTCTGTGTCTTTCTTGCAGGATTCTGCAAAATTGAATCTTTCAAAAAAGATTCATTTTTCAAGTATTATTTCAGTATGCGAAGTGGTCTTAAATGCCAGTGAACACTAAAACATTTTTTTGTAAAGTGGTGGAGAACACTTTGTTGAAAAATAAAAGCTAATTTTAACATGTTGAGTCAAACCTCATGTAAATGGCAGTCTGATTCTGGTCTTGATCGATGAAGTGCATTTCCTTTGTACTTAAATACAGTAGCGAGTGATTGAAACTAAAGTGAATTGATGTCATCTTTGCAAAAGCAGTCTCATTCTATTATTGTGCAATGTTATTTTGGGGATCAGGCTGTGTGAATTACAGATTTTGTTATTGTTAAGTTCCTCATAGTTCTCTCAAGTGAGCTTGGCTCTGCTGTAGAAGTTTTTCCCACTGTGCCTTTTCCAGTCTGACCCTTTAATCTCATCAAGCAAGATTCCTGTGCCCTTTTGCAGCCAGCTGCCTATCGCCTTTTCTATAGGTAAGTTGGGCTTTTTAATAGTTGTAGTGTTAAGTTTGAGTAGTGGTTATTATTAGTTGATATATCCCAGCAGCTATTGTGCCAACTATTCCATGTAATAGAAGTTTGAACTCAAGTTGTCATTTTTATTCAGTAATGCTGCTTGTGAACAGTCCTCAGTATAAGATGTTTAGACAAAAGGCTTTGTGTTAATGCAGTGACAGGCTGAGTGTTGCATGGCCCGAGATACAAGGCAGCAGTGAAGTAAAAGGCTCATGTATGAATATAGTTTCAGTACTGCTTTATAATTTAAAAGGATTTCCAACTGCCCGTAGTTCTGTTTCCGTCATGGATGCTGATCTGTGGTTTGTTACCTATCATTTCTTTTCCTGAGTTTTGATGAACAAGAACCATTCTTGTCCTTGAAGTGGTTAGCAGTAATGAATTAAGTTCAGTTAACAAACTTTGAAAGATTGTACTAGATCACCTGACACCAACTTAATTCTGGTGACCAGGCTGTTTTAGCAGGCTTAAATAAAATACACGTCCGCGGCTGCACTTGATGCTTTTTGAGCTGCCTAGGAGGACTGTGCCTCAACATACATTTAAGGAAAATACAACTATATTAAAGAAAAGAACACAGAAATCAGACCTTTTAAGTTAACAGGAAGAAAACAGATGCATAGGAAGAAGTGCTTGGTATCAGGCATTTATTCTAAATCCTTAATCCACTGACCAGCTGCAGGGCCTCTTGGTAATTCTCTTGCTACCACAGTTCTGCTACAGGCTGAGCACATCAACATGTCCTACAGGGTAACGTTTTGCTTTACAGTTACCAGTTGCTGCCATGTGTGATACGTGTCATCGGCAAATACGTCTTTTGCTAAAGAGCACTGTGCGAACAAGAAGCTTGATCCTCAGTGAAGATGGATTATTACTATCATCATCTCAGCTAACTTTCCCAGTGAAGGTTCTGAACATACAAAGCAGTGCTTAGATAAAATACCTTACGTGTAGCTGAAATAACTAGCATTTTCTAGCCAACGTTTACATATGAAAGTTCCACAAGTTTTGCAAAAGTATACTGAAAAGTTACTGCCTTAAGTCACACTCTAGGAGTACAGTCTGTGTAATCCTCTAGGAAAAACATTACATTTTGTGAAGGGAGGATGAAAATTTACCTTGAAATTTAACTGCTTGAACATCATTGGAATTAAACATTTACTATTGTTTTTCAAAGAGAAATACAAAGGGTTTATCCTTTTGAAACATCTTTTTATAAGGCAAAGAGAACAGACTAACTCAGTCTATTAGCAATTTTTTAAAATAGGCTTTAATACAGGAAATAAAGTTTAGGAATTAAAGCTGAATAGTCAATTTCCTACACTTGTATAAAAGCTGGAACGATTAAGGGAGATAGACTATTATATACATTATTTGACACAGAAATAATAATGAATCTTTGCAG